ACTTATTCTACTGAGCTATCTCCCCAGGCCTATGTTAAGTATTTCTAAGGCCGTTCCAAACAAAATGTAATGGAAAAATACAATTAGGGCTGGCGAGATAGCTCAGGAAAGCACTTATTCTACTGAGCTATCTCCCCAGCCCTATGTTAAGGCCTTTCCAAACTGAAATAAAATGTAATGGAAAAGTACAATTAGGGCTGGCGAGATAGCTCAGCTGACTAAAGCGCCTGGTTAGGTAAGCTCCTAAGCTGAGTGTAGGGACCTCGGTTTGATCCCCAGCATGCCACGCCAGCCCTGCCCCCTGGGCAGGCTGAGCCAGCCACAGAGTCTGGATGTGGTGGTACATGCCTGTAATCCCAGCTCTGGGGAAGCTGAAAATAAGTCACTATGAGTCTCAGCTGCATAGTGAGACCCTGTAACCAAATACATTACAAAAAATTCCAAGTATATACAATTATATTTTTGTACCACTCTCATGAAAACATTAGGTGATTTCTCTGCAAATTATAGGAAAATGAAAAAAACGTATCTTGTTTTAAGGTACCAGGTCTCATGGTAATAGTATAGATGAGGTACGAAGTCTGTCTGCTCATTAGAACTGTCTGGGTAGTTCAATAGTTCAAAAGATTGGTCACACGGGGCTCAGTGTGCGTGATGTGTAATCCCAGCTCCCTGGAAGACTGAGAAGTTAAGTTTAAGGCTAGTCTTGGCAATTTAGCAAGACACTCTCAGAATGAAACAATAAAAGGGCTGGGGATGTTGTTTAATGGTGGAATGCTTTCCCAGTGTACAAAGGCCATAGAAAGCCTGGTCCCAATCCCAAAAGACTAAACAGTAGTGATGGGCTGATAACCAAATGGGTTTTGTTTTCATGGGGGGCACTAGTAGGGATTGAACCCAGGGCCTCAAGTATGCTAGGAAGGTGTCCTACCACTAAGTTATACCCTCAGCCCTGTTTGTTATTTTAGGTAATTAAAAGTTACCCATCCAGGGGTGGAAAATTTTCATGCTGCCTGGTTTTGCTTTTCAGAAGCAACCACTCAATTTTACATTTTAATCCTTCTAACATTTGCTGTATATACACAAGTTTATGCTCTTTTTTTGTTTGCCTTTATGAAACAGGGTCTCACGATGTAGTTCAGGCTGCCTTAAACTTGTGGTTCTTTTTTATTTTTCTTTATGTTTTATGTATTTAGTACAGGGTCTACAGAGGCTCACTCACTACACAGATCGGACTCATAGTGATCCTCCTATTTTCAGCCTCCCAAGCACTGGGATTACAGGCATGTGCCACCATGCCCAGTCTCAATTGCTATTTCTGTACACCCCTGGGTGGAGCTGGCACGAACCCATGGCCCCTGTGTCTGCCTAAACAGGCCCTTTAATCTGCTGAGCTATCTGACCAGCCCTTTCCCTGTAGTTTTTTTTTAAACATTTATTTATTGTGTGTGTGTGTGTGTGTGTGTGTGTGTGTGTGTGGCCAGCTAGCCCACCTGGGGGCAGGGCTGGCTGGCATGTGGTGCTGGAGGATCGAACCGCGGTCTCTGTGCTTTGCCAAGCTTGTTCCAAGTAGGTGCTTTAGACCACTGAGCCATCTCATCAGCCCCTCCCTGTAGTTTTATTACTTAGTAGTTGAGCCCAGATAATAGAAGCTTCATCCCAAAGGACAAAAATAGGAGCCAGGGAGATGGCTCAGTAGAATAAGTGCTTCCCTGGCAAGCAAAAGGGCCTGAGTTCAACCCCTGGTTCCACCAAAAAAAAAAAAAAAAAAAAAAAAAAGATCCCAGAGGATAAAAGTAGAAGTTGCAAAACTTTGATAGAGTTCCAGAAGTTAATGGTGTCACCTGTTAATTTTTTTTTTTTTTTGCCGGTACTGGGGATTGAATTTAGGACCTTACACTTGCTAGGTAGGTGTTTATGCCATTGAGCCATCTCCCCACCCTTGGTGTCACTTGTTAAACATTCTGATGGGCAGAGTGTCAGGAGCCACCTCAGATTCAAGGCAGAAGCCTGGTGTAGTAGAGCATGTCTGTAATCCCAGGCTGAGGTAGGAGGATCACTGAGTTTAAGGCCAGCCTGTCATAGGGGGACCCTGCCTCAAACAACAAAACTCAACAGATTCAAGGCAGGGACAAGGCATTGTGTATTTTGGCCAGAGCAGCAGGGTACAGTGATGGGATATGAGCAAGTGGTGAGAGAGAGAGAAACAGCTTAGCACAGGAACATCATTTGTTTGGCAGAATCTCTGGTATATTCGGCAAAAATTAGTTAAATTAGTAAGTGCTTGTTAGATGAGGGTTATGGAGCAATGGATGTGTATGAAAGTATGTTACCATCCTGGCACTTTTGTTCATGTGTACAACTGACTTTTCCCAGGGGTGGCTGGGAAGGCCTGTGTGGAGAATGCAAAGGTTGATACGATCCGTGAGTAGCTGTGACATTTATATGATTTGATGGGACCGGAATGGAGAAAATAAAATTTAGTGCTTGAGTCTGCTAAGTGTAAGGAGCTCTGAAAAATAGACATTTTAATAGAATAGGTGATTGTTAGTGATGAGGAAATTAATAGGTCAACAGACATTTATAAAGTACTTCCTGCTGTGAGGATACAAAGGCCTTATTTTTGAGGACAG